GAGAAGAAGAAGAAGAAGAAGAAGAAGAAGAAGAAGAAGAAGAAGAAGAAGAAGAAGAAGAAGAAGAAGAAGAAGAAGAAGAAGAAGAAGGAGTAGAAGAAAATGAAGGAGGAGGAGCAGGAGAAAGATGCCTGGAGTTGTTTAAAAAGTGGGTACAGGTTAAAACTTTTTTAAAAAATGGATATAAGTTAAATGGGGGCGACCAAATAGGGCGCCACGTGCAATTTTTACTCTTTTTATGGAGAATTCTTAGTCTCCTAAACTTGAGGAATCTCCAATTTGAGGCTACGGATGTAAAAGTTAAACCAATTAGTTATCCATTGGTTATTCATTTGTTATCCATTTCTAAGTGGATAATATGGTTCTTATCCATATTTGACCCGTTTTAAAAATGTTCATTATCCAACGCATTTTTTAATGGATAATATGAGTAGATAACTGTTCTCTTTTAACTATTTTGCCACCACTACTCCATGTTATGCTTGGCCATTTAAGGCACTTTACTAAGTTGGTTTTTCTATTCTCAACTAATTTCGTATTTCTAGTATTTCAAACTTTAAATTCAATTTCAGATATAAATTATGTACTTATTTTTTTTTTTATCAAAATCAAAATTAACAGACTAACATAAAATTTTCTCTTTCAACGTAACGAGAAAAAAATTGAAATAACAAAAGCCATCCACGTAATAAAATCCAAAACTTCGATTTATTCAAATGGATTCAGATCAGATTCCTAATAAAAGCCATATTACCTTTCTAACATTTCCAATTTGAGTCTCATATAACATACAAAACTATGAACAAAAAAAAAAGGAGGAAATTGGAACTGAGTATTAACCAAATCCTAAAGGGCCAAAAGCAGCGGTGGATGGAGCTTTAAGGTATTGGGTTCATATGAACGGGGACTTTCCATAAAAGGGTAGTTCGGTGCACAAATTAAAGTATTTATCATTCACATAGGATTCGGAAAAGGGCCGCTATTCAAGAGGTGTGATGCAAATAGTCTACTGTAATGCAAACATTAGTGGCTGCTTTTAAAGCTCGAACACGTGACCTAACGCCACATGAAGACAACTTTACAGTTGCACCAATGTATACGGTCAAATCGGGCTTGCCATTTCTGTGCGAATGATCGAGGCTGGAGCATGATTAGTCAAGGATCGGCTTAGATTTATATCAAACTATGGTGCAGAGTTAGGTTGTCAAGCTCGAGACCCTGACACTACTAGAAATTCGGCAAAAACCGACCAAGAAAAACCGACCAACTTTGGTCGGTAAAAAAACCGGCCAAAAACCGACCAAAAGTTGGTCGGTTTTTCAAAATATTTTAATTTTTATTTTTTTTTACAAAACCGACCAACTTTGGTCGGTTTTCTTTGGCGCAAAAATGCGGGAAACTATTTTTGAGTCCCGCAAAATTTATTTTTCAAGAAACCGACCAACTTTTGTCAGTTTTTGCAATTAAAAAAATAAATAAAAATTAATATTAAAAAAACCGACCAACTTTGGTCGGTAAATTCGGCTGGTCATTTTGAAAAACCGACCAACTTTGGTCGGTAATTTTATTTTTTTTTAATAAAACCGACCAACTTTGGTCGGTTATTTTCATGCAAAAATACAATTAAAGAGTATAAATAAAAAA